AAGAAGGGCACGAGGGTAGATCGATCGCGTACGCCGGCGAAACGCACGGCGAGAGGCCGCACGGCGGTCGGACGTAAATTTATCACGACGTTATCTCGCCCATTGGAACCACGTTCGTTAATTTTATCTCGGCCCCGGGACTCCCTCCTCGCGTTCTTTCTCTCCCTCTCTCTCTCTCTTTCTCTGTTTCTTCTCTCGCCATTTCCTTTCGCCTTTATCCAACTCTTTCGTCGTTGGGGACCGAGGATCAAGTAAATCGACTCGAAAATCCGAAGTCGATGGAAACCCGCGTCGACCGTTCGTCGACGGAGAACTTGGCCCCGGACAGAGGCAGAGAGGGAGGAAGGGAAGGAAAGAGAGAGAGAGAGAGATTTAGGACTCGGTCCGGCACGTATCGCGTGACTCTCGCGCGCGGTTCGAGGCCTCGTTTCGATCTTTTTCCTGGCCGAGAGAGGAGGCGAATCAACTTCGGGGAGAAGGATATTTCTGCGCGGCAATCGCACCGTCGATTCGAGCGAATCCCGCGAACGGACTCCTCCCGAGAACCCGGCGCAAACAGAATCGATTCGTCCTGCGATGAGGACGAGTGGGAAAAGTTGCGAGAGGATAGTCGTTACAGGAGGTCGACGGGCGACGACAAGAACCCGCTGAGTACACTTCAAGAAAAAGCGGTACACGGGAGAAAAATTCGTTTTAAATCAACAATTTGATTGAATTTGTATTGATAGTGGAAATATGGCTTGCATTAAGTCCAAAGTTAAAAATCTTCTAAGAATATTATAATATTCTTGCTCATATATGAGAATATCTATCGTTGATTTATATATAAGACTATTTTTTTCTGTGTAGAATCAACGAAATTTTGCTTAAAATAAATGTATTTTTTCAAGCGCAACATATAGTTCATTGAAGAAATTATACAGTTGCTGTAATGAGTTGACTCAACACGAGGAAAAATATAATGTAGGACAATAAAAAATATATAATAATTTGTGCTGGCAGAAAAAATTTTATTATGCTGTCGCAGCGAAATCTGTCAGTTACAATATGGACAGTAAAACGATTTGCCAAGATTTATCTAAGACTAATTGCCATTTGCTGAGTAATTTTGCTGAATCTACAAATTACTTTGTAAGAACAAATTAGTAGATATAGGAAAACACTATTTGGTTCTAACATTGAATTAACGTGTTCTAAAGACAAAGTCGCTCAGCAGGATATTTTCTACCTTGACGACAAAACTGTTTCTGCTCTAATTACGAATAAATCGCTAATTTGGTCGCGACAACTAAATCAATCGCTATTGCAACGAATATACAGTAGCAACGATGTGGTTTCGCCAACAACAGCCGTGAACGATTGCGATTTCTTGGTCAGCAATTATATTAACGCAACCGTATTGTTGCGCCGAGGCGTAATTTTTTCAATGGACGCAATACTTTTTTGAACAGGTTGACCGCCGATTTAGCGGTCCGGGCGCTTTTTTTTCTCGGAGTAAAATCCCGTCTTTTCAGTCGGCCGTTTTAAGCGGAGTGGACAAGCCGCTGTCAAAAGGAATTCCATGCGCGGCGATACAGCGCGGGGTCGTCAGGCGTAATGGATATAAATTTAATTAAGATTAGGATTTCGAGGAAGAGCCGGCGCACAAGCCGGAGCAGGTTCCTGCTTAGTCTGCGCCGGGTCCCTTCTCGTCGTCCGTCGTATCTTCACGTGCCACCCGAACGCCAATTAAAACTCGTCTTACGGCGCTTTTCGGCGTCTTCACGTGGTCACGAGTAATTTTCACGAGCTGCGCCATTACGCGACACGTATTAATATTATTATAATTATCGTCGTCGTGGACGTTGCTGTCGTCGTATCGGCGATCGCGTCGTGCTTCAGCGAGTTCTTGGAACCAGTCGCACGTGTATTTCGATAAAACGGCCTCGTGGCCCCGGTGCATCTGGAGGAAGATGAAAACGCTCACGAGGACGTCGCGCGATGTCGCGTTAATTAACGCTTCTCATTAATACGGAGCTCGCTGGCGCGGTCGAAAAAGCGCGAGCGGGCCCCCCTTCGAAAGCGATTTCGTCGCTCGAGCGACGAAGGAGAGATGCGGCGGCGGTCGTTCGGGATACTCGGGATGCTCCTTTTGTTCCCTTCCTCGCCCCTGCCGTCTTCTCGCAAACGGGGCCCCTCGCAGGTCCTTCGAGAGTTGCTGCCTCGACCTCCCTTTCTGCTCCGACCGCCTTCTTAATCTTCCTTTAATTCCCTGGCTTTCTCGCTTCTTTAGCTCCTTTTTCCTTTCGTTTCCCTTCGTTCCACCTCTCTTCGAGCCGTACCTTTTCTTCCCTTCTTCTTCTTCTCCACCACGTTCTCTACTCTCCTTCTCCTCCGCCCCGTCCTCCTCTTTGTTGTCGCCCCCTTTTTGTACCGTCTCCCTCTCCGCTTCGGTGTACCGTCGGTCTTTCGCCGACTCTTCAACGGCGAGAGATCCGCGCCGACAGGTTTCGAACTGTCTCGGGACCTCGGGAAGAGGGGCTGCTGCTCGGCGCGAAACCGAGCGGTGGAGTCCGTTTCTTCGTTCTCGCGTGTTTTTCTTCCCCCCTCCCCCCTCCCCCTTCGGACAATCGCCGATACCCCGTGAATCGTCCTCTCGGAGACGGAGTCGTCGTCGTCGACGTTGTCGTCGGAGATACAAAGACCGAGGCTTCGTTTGAAATTTATACAATCGTGCGATTCGGAAATTTTGCCAGCTCCCTTTGTGCGTCTATATCGTGCTTTGAATGGAGAATACCGTTTTGAGATTAAATTATTATTATTTTTCTACATGTACGGGAGAAATTCTCTTTTTTTAAATAATAGAGAAAAGTAACAATAATACAGTATCTCAGTACAGTATAATAATACAATATCACTTATGGAGACAGAAAGCAGGAAAAAAAAAGAATTTACATTTCTATGAGCAGAGAACTTAATTTGTTCCCGAATACTTAAATCAATATAATCGGAAAATTCGTTAATCAGCACGCTCAGTCGATTAATGGGTTTCCACAAAACGTTTCATGTAACGTTCGCTGATACGAAGTAAAGAAAATCGGACACCTTTTAAAGCATCTAGCAGGAATCCAAGAAGCGCCAGAACATTGGGGCGATCAAAAATTCGACATTAATCATGTTGCACAAAAGTAACCAATCCATAATCATCCTTCTATGTTCTACAGGTAAGATACGCATCACGCGTTGTATCAATTGATAATCATGAGAAAATGACCCGAGTTGCCCAATAAAAAAACTCAACCGGCGCAAAAATGACGTTGAACTCGTTCGATTAGGAAGAGGGGGAAGGGAGGCGGTACGCCGATTAATCAAATATGGTGACCATATGACATCACTAATTACGTGAAAAATTCCTTTCATCATCCCCCAGCGACCGGTGACTTCGCCAATGTCATGCAATGTCCTGCCGTTCTATTCAATGTTCTACGTTATTTTGTACAGTAATTCTGATAAATTGCGCTTGAATTCAGTCGTCGGACCGACTCGCGCGGAACGAGAGAAAGAGAGTGGTTGCGACGGATGTATCTCGGAGAAAAGTCCATCGAAGAGTTGCGACGATTCCGCGCGCCTCGCATATGCGATTGACGATAGTCGCGCGGCGAGCGCAACGATAAGAAGAAATCGAGTCCTTCCCACGCGGCGGATCGGCCGGACGGCGGCGACGACGGCGATCCATTAGTCCACCTAGACCGCCGATCGCTTTATTAATCTTTGATCCCGCGTTCTCATGCTTACGCGAGCCGCTTTTTGCAACGGTCGTGTTAACGCCCACCGTGAGCGCGTGAGAATAATTCCTCTTAGTGTAAAGCGCAAATAGTTAAGCAGTGGCGTCGTCCTGTAGAAATTAATTATTGCAAGGACGATCGCCTCGAAGAAACAAACTATCGCAGGAGGGATCGCGCGGCGCGCTGGAGAAATCAATGCTAAACGACGCTAATATCGAGGCATTTGACTCTCAAGTCGCCGAATTGTCGCGACTTGTCAATTATCATATTGACAGATTACACGAGAAATCGCCATAAGGACTCGGCGATTCTGCAATATAGACGTATGCTCCTGACTTGGTCAACGGATCGCCGGAGTTATGCAGCTGCGATACCTTTTTGTAAGGACGGCTAGCTACCTGAATCTTTTCGAGATTTATCGATCAGGTCGTTCATGTCGGTCGCCTTCCTATTGATCCTATTGGTCCCACGACGAAATCGGGACCAGGCGAAATCGAAAGAGAGAGATATAGTTTTTAAGACTCGGGAAATAACCGATCTCTTTCAAATTTTCCGCGTATTCTTTCGGCTTCTTTCCCACGAGTAGAAAAATACCTGTATTCGATTTGAAAAGAATTCACGTGCATTCGGTTAAAACTTGCCACATTTATTTCTTTCCGTAAAGAAGATCATTGCTTGTACCTAACTGAAGTTAATATATTACGCGTTAAGCAGTAACACATCACTTCCAAAAAATTATAACCGAATCATTGTGACTAAATAATATATAATATATCGTTATCAATGCGCATAATTTTTTTAAATCCGTGTTAATAAAAAATAACTATTGGATGGCCCGTATAAAGTGTCACAGACTAGTATTTCGAAAGAAATGAATTATTCGAAAAAAGTTTCAGACAAAAATTGTAAGATTTCGTGGGAAGCATAAAATGGTAATATTACATTATTAAACATTTTTTTTAATATTATTTCAAGGTCGACTTTAATTTCTTTAATGAAACCATATGATTTTTTATAATATAAATTGACCGGCCACAATTAAGTATAGAAAGAAGAATAAAAATTTTAACAAAAATAATATTATCTCATTTCCTGGATCACATTAATATGATAAAGGGCATTAAAAATTACCCAACATATCGTTTAAGTAGTAAAAAAGCAATTTTTCATCGTTTTTTTAATGATTTTGCAATGATTGAAAAGCCAGTTTTTTTAAAACTATAGACAGAAACTTACCAGCAGGTTAACAGCGCCAGTGTGATCGTCCACCCAAGCGAGCAGGATGTCGGCGCCTTTCATGTAGGTTTTCTCATTGAAACCGATGCCGACGTAGCCCAACGTCCTGGCGGTGACCCTGAAGGTCACCTCCTCTTCGTCCAAGGGATCCCACTCGAGGATGACGTTGCCATCCTCGTCGAGGACTTCGTACCTGATAAACTTCGGCTTTCCGCGTTGCTTCTGTGGACTCCTCTTGATTCTCGTCGTCGCCTCGTCCTCAGCGCGACTCTCCGTTTTTCGCGTATCCTTGAGCTTGTCGACGAACGGAAAATATTTCTTCGGTACGCGACCCCGCGTTTTCGGCGGTCTCTTGAAGCTAAGATCGTCGGATGCTCTCGAATTGGTTCTGTCGTTCTCGCTGATGACCTCGATCTGCTTTTCGTCCTCCATTTCCATTTCGAGCTCGTCCTCAGGATTCGCATCTCTGATAGCCACTTCCTCGAGTTCGTCCTGTTGCTTCCTCATGACCGACAACTCGTCCCCTAACACTTTTCTTTGCTCCTCGATTCCCTTGTAGTCCTGCGAAACAACCGACCACTCTTCGTACTTAGCGACGCTAGTTGCCGGCTTCGTGATCTCGATCAGAACCGATGCGTTCGCTCCGCCGGCATCTTCGAGAGTCATTGTCCTGGTCTTCTCGAAGTCGCTCGTGAGTATCTCATGCTGATCAGGATCCAGATTCTCCTCTTGCTTGTTTGGGAAGTTCAATGCGTCGTTCTTGTAATACGTCTTCTTATTCGTCTTCCAGTGCATCAACCAATCCTTGTCGAAGTTCAACCGCTGCTTTTGGAAGTTACCGACCCTGAGCACGGGCTCGACATCGACCAAACTCCTCTTGATGCGAGAGGCCGAGTCCATGGGATGCCGTTTACTCCTATACAACATCGTCCTCATGGTCTCATCCATGTGCTGGACGTAGAGATCCAATAGATCGCACTTGACGATCCAGCACGCGCCCAACGTCACGATCAGCCTGATTAGCAGCATCTTCGTCCACTTCCTGTTCCTTCCTCATACGATCATTTAGGCAAGTCTCGTAGTTCGCTCCGCTTTTGATATCACTGCCATCAATTTCTCTCTTTTACTCCCTTCCTTCCTCTCTCTTTCTTTTTGTCTATCTGTCTGATTGAATATAATTAAGCGTGCATCCGGGTGGACATCAATTTATCACTACCATCTTCCGACCGTTGGGAACTCTCGAGATGATTGATTGTCGGAATCGTGCGCTCGGAGTTCGCGCGAAAGACGTAGACGATTTCTGCCAAAAAATGAAATTTTTACCAATTATTCGTCGAAAAGGTGATGTTTTTTATGGGCACCGAACTGGAGATCGCTAGTGTTTGTTCGCGCGGTAAAAATTAGGACGGCTCGTGAGGCGACGAGCGTTGCTTTCTCTCACGTATCCTCGTTAGTTCGATTTTCGAAGCACCGGACTAGGGAACGATCTTCCGTACATGTTGCGCGGACGACAGTTGTGCCGGGACTAATTTAAACACGCGGCTGCCGCTGCCTCTGCAGATGCTTGCAGCTGCTTACCTGGCACGGTCCCCTTCCTCAGGGCCCCGGCACAGGGACGTATTGATTCCCGTCTTGTTTCGTGACGCTTTTACGTTCGGCGGCTTTTAAACGGGCGTAAACAGAATGTGAATCTCCTTCGATCCCCCCGGTCTTGGGAAACCGCGAGGGAAGATAAAATTTAATCTGCGAAAATACACATGGAAAAATACATGGGGCACTCAAGTAAATGTTATTTGTGTTTCAAGTATTTCATAAGTTTATATATCCGCATATATATATATCGTAGGCTTATCATAAGCGTAGAATTGATTCAAAAAATATTTTCTGAATTCTAGTAAGTTTGGTACTTCGATCGAGAATATTAAATTAAAATTAATTTTTGTTTGTGCTTAATAAAATTAACCGAATTTAACTTTCCTTCGATAAAATTTATAATATATTCTTGAAAGGAGAATAAATTCTTCATTCTTTTGAATGCGTGATAATAGGCTTTTCTCAAATTTGTGATATATTTTAAGACTTATCAAGAAAATATTCTTTGTTGGAGTTAACTACCCAGATAGCAGAGCGACGTCAAATGACGTATAAATACGCCCTAATAACGTCTGCAATACCAATAATACGTCATTAAGACCGTCTTTAACCCTTTGAGTACTGAATTATTTTAAGATTTTTATGCCCATGGGACGGATTTAATTTGTCGCTATATGGATTAATATGTAAAAGTAATATATTTTATGCCCAAGTAAGCAGATGACGAGTCTCACTCGTCAAATGTACCGAAAGGGTTAAACGTCATCGTGCTATTTGAATATTACTTACTTAAAAGAAAGAAAGTGAGCTGAGTAATCTCTGTTTTTAGCAATAGAATGAATTCTCTGTGTACGAGAAGAATAAAATATTTCTTCCCTCCGATAAAATTTCCGATCCCGGTGAAATCGAGAAGAAGCAATCTCAAAGACAATGTAACGGACAATTTAAGGACGATATTTCACATATGTATTTAATTTTACTGTCTAATTAAGAAAATGTCTAAACGGACGGTAGAAACGCGTATTGCGGCTCCGCTTGGGAAAACGACTCATCTACCCAAACGTGTCTCCGCTGCGAACGATCCCTAGCTCGTTACTTTTCACAGTGTTTATTAACGATCACGTTAAGTTTCCTCTCTCCGGCTCTTCCTTTTGCAGACGGCGTTGATTGCGTGCGGCTAATAGTAACGACAGCACTCACTTAGCCGCAACTTGCAATAATTCACGAGGATGCGCTCGGGGTTCTGCAATGGCTCTGTAACGTCTTAGCGAAAGGACACGCGAAATCACAGTGATCGCGACGCCGGCCGAGTCCTTCTTTACGGTTTCACGAGCGAGCGAGTTCGGTGTCTCGAGTTCCTCGAGCGCGATAATTACATACGAGTTGTGCACGGCCCACCGCGCTTCAACTTCTTCGTCCGCCGTTTGAACGACGGGCGTTCAATAAGGGGGACGCAAGAAGGATCGCGGCGGTGCTTCCTGCGGAAGCGTCCCTCTTTTTCTCCCTCTGCTTTTTTCCTCGTTTTGTAACCGGAGTCTCACACATCGATGACGATGGCGGCGGGTAGGTGGTAGGTAGTGACGGTGGTAGCGTTCTTCACAGAAAGGAACGAGGGGCTGTGAAAGCAACTGCAGCAGATGCGAACCCTTGGCACGCGCCCTTCTGTTATTCAGTGATTCTCATATTGGCCCTCGCCCTTCCGGTGCCGGCAGTGCCTCGCAAATTCTCTTTATTCCGGCGAGTCGTCGACAAGAATTTCGCTCTTCTTCCTTTTCCTCCTCTTTCTCTCTCTTTCTCTCTCTCTCTCTCTCGCCCGCGCGCGCGCGCCAGAGGGAGAAACACACTCTAGGAAAAGAGAGAGAACTTATAATTGATCCAAATATTCCATTTTTCTGCACTGAGAAAAATATTTAATCATATCTGATCGGATAATCCAATTAAAAAGTAACAAACGGATATATTCGATCAAGTGCAACGTCCGATTATTTCATCATTTCATCCGATCAAGTCGTGCTTTTATCCGATGAAAATTATACCGGATGTACAAAAGGCGACTAATTTTCCCATTTAGGTTTCACCGGTAATTTCATCGGATAAATGTATCATCCGATCGGATAATAAAAATAACAATCGGCTACATCATTTTTAATCGGTTCGTTCAATGGAAATTCTCCTGTAGTTTGGAACGAATGACCGTACAGCATCGTTAAATCGCCCGTGACTCTTTCTCCTTGTCTTCTAAAGATACGTTGCGTGTAATGCGTAATTTATGGGATCGGTACCGGCGATTCATATCGATTCAGCTGGAGATGCTGTCGATCCGCTGGTTAATCGTGCGAATCTCATCCGGTCGGCGGCCGTTTCAGACACATTATTCTGCTTAAGCGTCCGCACGTGTGCAGAAGCCAACTGTATCGAGTTACTTCCTGTAACTGACATTGAAACACTATACTTCACGTGAGAAGGGTTACCGATCCGTATTCTGCGGACAAGTCGGGTATCGATCGATACGGGTATGTGATGCCCGGCAGATTCTCCTCCAAACCGCCGAACCCTAAAAATATCACGTACGCTGTCCAATAAGAAAGAAAAAAAGATATACTTATCGACAGGTGTCCCGCGTATTTTTAAGCCAATTTTTTATCGTCTTTTTTCGCGTAGCTGTCGCAGCCTAGCTCCTTCTGTCACAACGGACATGTTGACCGATCGATCGACGCAATCCGTCGAGTCAATCCAATCAATTCCCGGCGGCGGGATTAATTGACTCCTCCGAAGCTACTTTGACCGGGAGGATCGCCAAGCGCGAAGCCGACGTTTGTTTTACGGCTTGCCAGATAGCTTTACAACGTGGCGTAGCGATTTACAACCATCGACATAAAAGAGCGCCGTGCACTGAGTAAACTCGAAAAAGCCGTTCCTCGCGGGCGCGCTCGTGCACCTGCCGAAAGGTGCGAAAGTGCATCGGGAGATCGCGAGTCCGCGAAACGTCCACCGCTCTCGCGAACGTCGCCGCCAGATATTCTTTATTACCACGAGAAAAGTGAAACCCCGAAAGAAAGGGAGAAAGAGAAAGAGACGGAGAGAGAAGTGCTGTTTATTATATTTATTAAAAGATTAACGCCAACAAGTGAGAATGATAAATATTTCAGTTTCCAATTTCATAAACTCATGTCGTTTTAGCTACAAAAAAATTTGCAGGTTAACAACATTGAGAAGTGTTGTATAAAACTGTCATAAAAGCTTCTATGTAAAAATTTAATCTTACACTTTTTACACGAAAATATGGAAAGATTTACACGATAAATTAACAACGTATCGCAGTAGCGACAACATCGTGTCATCCAGAGCGAATGTCTTTCTTTGAGTTTTGTGTCTTAACTTATTCTTATCGCGACGCCAGGTATTCTTATCGTGACGAGCAGATTGAAATCCCGAGAGAGAGAGAGAGAGAGACAAAATGAGAGGTGCACGACACCGGGACGTGTTAGTATTCATCCGACGGAATTATTCTCACTCGCTCTCCAGCCGCGTGTCAGCTTACATTTACGAGAAGAACAACACGCAGGCCTGTGAGTAACGTCGGAAATGGCGTCGTCCTGGGAAAAACCGAAGCGCCGCGCAACTGTACGGCCGGAGCATGCGAAGCGCGAACCGCTCGATTCATTCTTGCGGCGCGAGAGAGGCGCGGACTACACGTGCGCGCAGCCGGCCGGCCGGCTGCACGGTCGTTCGATCGATCGATACCGGGACACACACGATCGACCGCGTGTTGTATTCCGCGCGTATCTCTCCGCGTCGATGGCCGAAATAAATTATCGCCGCGAAGACGCACGGTTCCGCTCGGCGCATGGATACTATAATCCCCGATGCTCTTCTCTTTCGACGCATTGCCGGCTGCTATTAATATTAATCAGCGCGTCTTGAAAGTCGCGCGCGCGCGCGTTGAAACGAGTAATTTCATCCTTACTCCGACAAGCTATATTTATAGAACGCAGTCGTGTGCGAAGCTCTGAAAGCGAAAATGTTTCTCGATGATAGATCTAAAGCACGTTAGTTTCGGCACAGTCTTTTGTTTTCCGTGAACATTTATTTACTTATTTGTCTATTAACGGGAAATTAATTAAAAAATCATTAAAACGATGGTGTTAAGCCGCATAAAATTATTCGATTTCAGAGGTACGAGAGGATAGTATGAATTTCACTTGGCGGAAAATCAACAAAACTGATAATCGTAAGATTTTCATATATGTTGGTAGAGAAGTGTTACTGGTTTGAGTCCATGTGCATAAATTAATTAATTCTAATTTTACATCTTCAACGCAAGCCTTCAACAAGGCTTTCGATCTTATAAATAGAATAGTCAGTTTTGATGCTTTTCATCTCTCAAACAGCATAAAATTGTTCGATTTCTGTGATAAGCAAAAGTATGAACTTCATTCAATACCAAAGATAAATGGCTTCAGGATCCGATTAGTCCCACTAAGGGTTAACGATCGATTCTTCGACGAGACAGGGTTTCATCGGCGCCCAAAGGGTACTCTTTCCACGTTAGGACGGCGTGAAAAGAAAGTTCGTCGCGTTCGCCACGACGGAGGAAAGCTTCTTTTGTTCTCTCGTCGGTCTGCAAACCGCGAGACTTTCCACGTTCGGTGGCAATCTTTGGCGCAGGCGGGAATTAAAGCCGTCGTCTCGGATTCACCTGTCGTTCGCGCGCGAGCGAGCTACACCTGCTACGTCGTAATCACGCATCGCCCCGACACCATCTGCCCCTCAAGGTTTCGATATCCGATCGGCAGATGCGACGGATTAAGAGTGAAAATACGACAGCGACGTAGAAAGTCGCGGCAGGCGCACTCTTCGTTTTTATCAATCGGCTCGCCGGCCTCATTCAAATCCGCAGCTCAGTTGGTTAGCCGCGTTCGAGTAATTAGTCGCGCGCGAGCTCGTTAAGACTGCGCGCACGCCGTCTTCTTTTATTGTGTTTCACTCGTTCGGATTCTTCGCACGCTGCGTTCAGCGAACCGAGTAGGACTAATTGGGGATCAAGTAAATGATGAAGCCGCGCGACATCGAATCGTTTCGGCGCACGGAGAAGAGAATTAATGAAATTAATAATAGTACTGAAAGGAAAAAGTGCTGCATTCAAATAATATTCCTTTACTTGGCCCAAGTAAAGTAGTTGTTTCGATATCCCTCAGCAAATATTCACCAAAAAAAATTTCATCGTCTATATGTGATATGATGTAATGACGCAATTTGATATTTATTTATATATGTTAAAACCGAATGTCAATTCCGACAAGTGTTAAATTTATAATATTGAGAAAATCAAAGTTTTAATTTTAGAAAACATTTGCCGGACAGAAAAATCGAAATTTAAAACACTAAGTTTTCCCCCTCAGTGAGAAGGAAAAATATTATATAATTTCAGTATATGCTCATAGATTTAGGCGAATTTATTTACATTCAGTAATTCATTTACAAATTATTGTATTACTGCGTAAAGTATTTACTACGAGCTGTCACAAAATATGCTTAAAGTGATAAAAATATTGCTTGATTTGATTTAATATCGACTCAATATATCGAGATTGAATTAACTCAAATATTGCGGTAACATAAACACAACGTGTTAAATTAACACACGGGTGTGTTAAAAATTTAGCACGGAAAAATTTTAACAAGGACCGACTTTAATACACAATGTTTTTTTCACTGTACAAATACCAGTATCATTCGTATTGATTAAAAAAATGTCGATGGAGCTTTGTTCGTGGAGTTTTGTTGTAGGCTGGGAAGCAAAGAAACGTGTAATAAATCCGATGCTATTCAAGTCTTGTGTAAATACATCTCGTATTGCGTGCGTGAAGCGTACGTGCTGGCACGCGAATGTGTCGAAACGCACCGAGGGAATTCCGCGTGTAAGAAACTTTTCTTTCGACGGATTCGAGAACACATACGATGGGTACAAGTGTAATTGGACAAAAATGTAGTCCCACTAAATATTCATGAAGACCCGCCCGTATACCAGCCGGACGTTGAACGGTTAATTTAAATGCATTATCTATCTATTCGCGATGTCAGCGATAATGAAGATCAAATTCGCAAATTTTGTTCAGAAATCAAAGCGATTTAAAAGTTCTCATTAACGTCGACACCGTACCTTTTTGTTTTTTATATACGCAATTATCTACGCGTTTAATTTAAATAAATTATCTATTTCGCATATCAGCATATCTAATAATCCGCAAGGAATCAAATTGCATCGTTTTGTACTATTTCATGTAAATTTTGTAACTGTATCTCTTTATTCTAAAGAATCTTTAATTTCGCGACAGTGAAGATAAAATTCGCAAATTTCGCTCGGAATAAAATCAAAGCGATTTAAAAGTTCTCACACAACAACATCGACATTGTACTCTCCTATTTTTATCTACGTGAAAATTTCAGTCAAATTGATGATTTATACCTTATATAGTTCTCCCTTGTGAAGAATCGTTCTGTACTGAACTATTTGAAAAGCATCTCGTCATCGTACCAATTGACAAAAGTTCTGCTCCGTTCTTTCTTGAAACACGCATCCGAACTGCTCAGCTAGGTGGCGTCTTTCTGACTTACTATCAGCTAATTAGTTTAGAATGTGACCGAATGTTACATCAAAGATACCGACAGATGGCCGTACTGTTGCGCATACAGTGGTTTGTGGTTATATTTCGTACATTGTCTCAATTGTTGCAATTTTCCCGTTGTTTTTCTTGAACCAGGTGTAACTATAATTACTAAAAATGGGTAACAGCCCGACGAAAGTGGAGGGCAAGCCTGAAGAAGAGAAGAAGAAATTGAAACCTTGCTGCGCTTGTCCTGAAACGAAAAATGCAAGAGATACATGGTGGGTAACTTCCATCTGTAACAAGAAGATTTGAGTTGTATTCGTATAAATATATAAATATATTGGTTAGAAGTGTGTCGCAGTTTTAATTTCCATAGTTAATATATATGTATTAATGACCATTTTTTTTATTTTTAAATTTATTTTTTAACATACAGTTATGGTCAATAATTTGCACATGTAGATGTTTTTCTTCCTTTGATGCATTGTATACAGAACTAACAAAAGAATAATTCAACAAGTAGTAAATACATGTGAAACTTATAAATGTTACATCATTGGTTATAACATTGTTAAGTTATATTTTAATTTTTACTGTTTACAGTATCATAGAAAAAGGTGAGGAAAATTGCGGCGACCTTATAGAAGCCCATAAAATCTGTATGCGATCTATGGGATTTAACATATAAGACATGATGCAAAAAAGAAGGATATTATGTTACCACAAAGATCTATGCCATGAAGACCAATATCTGCGGAGAATCTTGGCTGTGATCAAGTCATGGATGTTTTGATGCTTCTGTATAATAATATGTCTTTATATATTATTTTACTCTTAGAAAGTCTTCTACAAAGACTTTGTAGAAATAGTATTATTTGTGTGAAATCAAACGAGTTCCTTAAAATGTAAATAAACTTCATAGAAAATTAGATAAGAAAACATTTTTGTTTTTTTTCCTCCATCTGTAACAAGAAGATTGTGGAACAGATCGTTGATAGAGTTGATTATTAATAAAAAGTAAAAGTTACAATCAATTATATTTGTACAGACTAAGAAAGAGAGTATCTTGCTCTTCGCTCTTCTCTGCGACTATTTTCTCGTGTTATTTTTCCATTGGCGAATCCTAATTTTCCATCTTAACGATCTCGTGAAGTGAGACGGGGAGGAAAAGAAGAAGCTGTACTGGGAATTCTAACAAAGCATATATTTTAATTTGATGTGTGGCTAATGCGAAGGTTTTTACTTCTTGCATAACAATTCCACAGCTTGGTTTCCCTGAACACTCCAAATAATGAACAGATTCTTAACCGATATATGGCGAAATCCAGTACTATAATTAATAATCGTCTTATCGTTTCTGACGTTCTCCTGACGACGTCAGTCGACGTAACGTTATTGCGATGTGGTCCTACTGGGCTGAAAGACAAACTTACATTCGACCGGTGCACCATAATTATCGAAGCTATATAAAACAACGACGCGATGTTCACGCGGATACGGATGAGTGTCGCGTCCGCCATCGAATGATCGCAAATATATCTTTAACTATAATAATAAATAGATCTTAGAGATATATCAGTACAATTTATACGTGTGAGAAACATGATGAGAGTAATAATAATAATTTTACTAAATCACGTAACCGTAAAGTGTATAATATAAATAACAAGTAAATGGACTGTAGTATTTTTCTTATTTTTTTTTCTTCATCTATCCTCTCATTCACAGCATTGCGTTGGACTTACGAGCTAGGACATAAGTGTAGCCTAGAATCGATTGAATAATTAAATAGAATATTTGTAATTAGTATGAAAGTAGTTGTACTTTTTATGTGTGGGCAAGTGAAATACGATATAACGAAGAGAGTGTGCAAATGTATAATGTTTGTCTGTGTGTGTCATGTGTCTTTGGTGTATACAATATAATGTGGGCTTGTATACATATACACACACACACACATATATATATATATATATATATATGTATACATATATATGTATATGTATATATATATATGAAAATGCGACATAGTCACTTTTGCAGACACTCCAGACTCCCATAGAAGCGTTTTTAGCAATTAAAATTCGTCAAAGAATATCTTTTGTGTATCGTTATATAAAATTTGTTGTAATTATATATATCGTATGGCTCTCTCGGCACTTTTCATATTGACTAAAAATCGACAATCGTGTTGACGGGAAGTATTCTTCGTCGCGAGTCGCGGAATGTGAAGAACGAGACGAGTGCACTGGGAACACCGCGCGTCGATTCTGGAGCGTTTCCAAGAGTGTGTCCATCTGGATGTATGAGTGAATCAGCGTCGAATTGATAACAGCATCACAGCTACGAAAAAGTCTCCGAGTTTTCCAAGCATCACAGCTACGAAAAAGTCTCCAAGTTCGCTTTTTTTTTTTTCTTTCTTCTTCCATCCCCCCAAGCTCTCTGTCACGACTTTCTCGATGATGATCAACCGATCGGTGCAAGACGATTGGTCGGCTAAGGGTTAGCGCAGCCTGTTCGCCGCGATGAAGATTGAGCAGAACATTTTTCCTTTGTTTTGGACAAGAAAAATATGACGATCGTGTTTAACACTATCCTCCTCCCCACGGATCCGCCGTCTCGTTGTCCCTTCTTTCTTCTTCGGACAATTTTTATTCTCAAGCACACACACACACACACACACACACACATTCACATTTTCCAGAACTGACGATCCTTTCAAAGATTCTCGGAGATTCACACGTAATACGGCGCAAAGTACGAGGCGAACTTTCTTACTTCTCTTTGAGATATAAAGGACCTTCTCTCCCTCGGATTTTTCTCGAGGGTCGGAGGGGGAGAAATTTTACATTGAAATCAAAACGAATTACATTAAAATCGCTCGAACGGCGACGCGTCGAGGAGCGGTTTTTGATATCCGTGCGAGTCAGCTCCGCATTGTCGACCGCGCCGCGCGGCTTATTGCGCGGGCACAACGATTTATCAAGGAGTCAGTCCACCATTAACGGCTAGAGAGATGCAAGAATATATTGTTAAATAATATTATCTGCAACTACTACAATGGAGTAAATCGGCTAGCGGTAGAGAACATAGGACATCGCGGTCACGTAATTCGAAGGATGCCGGACAAGATCGGTTTGAGGCAGTAGTCTATAGTCTTCGCGCTTCGAGGCTCGCTTGCTTCTCGTACCAGCAACTCTCACCTGTCTTGAGGAACACGCATTGATCGTAGAACTTTACTTTGCTGAAAAAGAGAAAATGCGAGAAAGAGAAAGAGAGGCGCGTGAAAATAGAACTGGTGCGTAGCGCCAGTGTTCGTCCATAAATAACGAGTCGGTTTAAAGGCGTTATTACTTGATACTGCGCTTCGGCGTCCATAGTGCCGGTAACGGCGACCACTTGGTACTGTCTGGCCTTCATAGCCGCGGTGGATTTCCGCACGAGTCGCATCGCGCCGGGCGCGCTGCTGGTGCTGTTGAAATGCGACATTTGCGCCGGGCTGTGACTGGGATCCAGCACCAGCATGATTATGGAGCCGTCCCTCAGCTGTTCCACCCCCATTATCGTTCTGCTGTGCCCTGGACGAAACGATGGATACGTTATCGTTTATCGGGGAGACGAGTGTAACGATGCTCGCTCTTGCGTCAGCCCTACAGTGGTCGCGCGAATGACAGATGTCTCATCCGTGCGCGCTAAAATGTACTTCGCTATCGCTAGTGTTGCATTTAGGTACGCGACCACTCCAGGATTAAACTGATAAAGACGACAGCTCGGAGAGGCAATGACTGGCCCGCTTTACCTTGATGCTGAAGGTAAAGTGGCGGCTTGAAGTCGTCGCATCTCTGAAAGTACTGCAGGACCCAGTTGAACAACTCCGGATGGGCGCCGTCTGCGCTGGTGGGTCTGTGGAAGTCCACCAGCTGGCACCTGTGCGAGACAGACACGGGGAAAACGGTATGCGTCGTATGACTTTGGCGACCGGCCGAGATCATGGAACTTACTTTATCCTCAAACTAGACAGCAGCGTGAATACCTCCGTGGCGCCGATCCACTTCCTGGTGTTGACCAGTTTACCGCCGAGCTGCTCGGCACCTTGGATATCGAAGCCCTGTGCCCACGCCCACTCGATCATCTTCTGCAGTCGGGAGATCGACGGCATCGAGGTGCGCAACGGGCTCTCCGTCGAGCTGTTACCGCCCGCGCCCGAGCTCCAAGCCTTGTAAACTAGCTCGTTGTACCCTGTGTGCTGCAAGAGAGACGAGATTAGCATCTGCATGTTCCTATAACCGCAACCCCAGCCCTTGTCGCCGTAGGTCGACGCGTAATGGTCCACGGTGGAACACATCCAGGTGTTCACTACGTTACTGCACGCTTGACTGACGGCTCGCACTTTCGGGACCAGCCCTGCGCAGAGAAACAGCGTCGTGTGAGAATCGTTTCTTTTCAGTTCGTTTATTTTCTCCAGGTGGACGAACTCTCATTGTATCGAACAGAGTATCGCGTGTCATTTTGTTATCTTGGATTTAATTTGTGCTTGCTCTCTCTCTCTCTCTCTCTCTCGTCTTGGAGCATTTAAATGTGACCATAATTGGCCATAGTTATGCAAGAAGGATACAACCTACGAAATTGTGATTTTTGAGATTTCGTTACCAATGGATAGTCCATATGTCTTTCTACACAAAATAAAAACATCCAAGAAGTCTTATGAGCACCTAAAATTAATTAAAATATAGTTTTTATTTCCTACTAGTTGTGCTATTTTTTATTAATTGGAATTTTTTTTCAAGAATAAGCTTGTCAATGAATACCATTGAAGAGGATAAAATAGATCATACTTGACTTATTGAACGATTATGAAGAATCTCAAGGCAATTTAATACTTTTTAAATCATGCATCAAATTTTTCTACATTCCTTTCGGAACGTACTCTATGTTGGATTCTTTTTGCATAACTATGGCCAATTGTATCTAATTATTGTATATAAATTGTATATAAATTAATTTCCGAAGATATCTCTGTAGATTACTTCCGTTCTTTCATTATGATGATCAAAAGGTACTATATAATCCCGTAAATAATGAAATACGTGAATTTACCGCGTGTACAAGAACTGCCGTCGTCGATGCCACTACTTTCGGCCACCCGGAGCTCGATCTGCCTCTCGAAGAAGTCGGCCACCGTCATCTCGCCCGCGTAGACGGCGCGTTGCATATTGGTGACGCTCTGCTCCCGGAAGTTACCCTGATTGTCCATACCGTATTGCGCCCTCAGCATTTCGAATTCGCGCTGTTCGCGCAGTTTCCTCACCTCCTTCTCCCTTCTCTCCATATCCTTCGCCAGCATCCGATCGGTCGACACGTCCGGCGTCACCGGCGACGGCGTACTCTTCTTGCTGAAGTGCTCTTCGATGTGTGCCATTAGGTCGTCATTGTTTTTGAACAACGTACTAAGACACACCGGGCAGGCGGGTGTGTCGCTACCGATAGTGGCTATATCAGACTGTGAGGCTGTTCCGTTCGCAGGGCTGCAAATCAATCCCAACGAATGTCAACTATTTGAAAGTATACAGATAACTATCGCTAGTCGGTACCCGTCACGCTCAACCATAAGGTGTGGCGCTAACTATCACTATCTTGAGTATCTTCGGGAAATAAAAATATTTTACTAATGATTAGATGAAAAAGATTACGAACAGTTTGCAGTTTGCAAAGATGTTCAAAATGTTATTAGTATCAATTGCAACTTCTGTTGGGTACATTTTCCTTCTACTCTCAGATCCCGAAGATATTCAAGGTGGTGTGATAGCTCCCTTAGTACTGAATACTAATTGCCAGTACTACTTTTTCATCGAGATTATCACCCTGTGCACCCAGTAAACATCAATTAACAGGAACATCGCATCGATGTTATAATTTCTCACTCAACAATGTAAATACAATATGACATGCGTTGTATATGACAGTCAACATTGTCGAGTGGGAAATTACAACACTGCTGTAATGTTACTGTTAGTTGATGTTTACTGGGCAATCACGGTGCCCCTTGACAGCGTCTTAAAGATGCAGACAAGGTATATACCTGAGTATATCCTTGTGCTCGATATTAACGTGCAACTCAAGGTCAGAAGAATTCGGAAAAGACGTAACGCAAAGTGGGCAGTTGAAGACACCGTCCCGTGACGGCGGTGATTCCGGTGGGAAGGACGGCGAGGTGAGATCAAAGTGTTGGCGATTGATATGCTCTTCCAGCCTGAGAGGGCTGTCGGAACTGTAGGGGCACATCGGGCACTCCTGTACTGGAAGTTTTGGGGAAGCGTGCGAGCGCAGTTGTAGATTTAGGCCTGAACGCAGCGGTGAACCGTGGCCAGCTGCGCCCTCCAACACTGAACAACAAGGAGAGAAAGAGTGTGAGACAGAGCCACATGCTTCGTTCGTCACATTGAGCAAAACAACAACAACAACAATGATCACTCACCATTGTTGGCATTGCTACTGTTGTTATTGTTGTTATTATTATTCACATTGGGATTCGCCAATTGGACGTCCGGCTTTCTCGGCGAAATCTGTTGCTGCTTATGTTGTTGTTGTTGCTGCTGCTGCTGGTGCTGCTTCATACGCAATGCCGGAGAACTGCCCCAGCCGTTCTGCATGTGAGGAGGTCGCAGGGACATCGACGGCGAAGCTGCTCGGCACTCGTCGCGCCCGTGCTCGTCCATCAGCGAGTCGTCGTCGATGAATGCCATGACATCGTTCTCCGGGGTGCTGGAATACGACGCGACCAGGAGGAAAGAGGGAAGGACGAAAAAGAAGCTTTACCGTGACTATAAACTGATGAACGCGATCACGACGGTGCGGACGAGCGATTATCGGACGCGTTTACGTTTAACGAACGAGCGCGCACGCAGCTGCTGGCGCGATGAAAGAGGCAGGCAAACGAGCGCGCGTTTGCCGGCGTGCGTTACTCCCCAGTCAGGAAAACATTCGCGCCTTTCTCGCCGCTCCACCTGGTGTTTCCCGCCATTTTCCAAATCAGCTGTTATTGACACACACAATGAGCGCGCGACCGTATCCGCCGCTCGAGGATCTCCGGACCGAATTACGCAGCTCGGACTGTGCCACACACGTGCGGTGTGACGCGTATCGACTATATATAGTCCGCTCGTACCGCAGTGACATGCACTTTAAATTAAACCCGAGCGTTGGATGTTCATGTGAACTGCGATAATCCGCGCGTAGGCGTAGAACGATGTTAAGCTGTGTCCAGCGTGTGTCGTCCTCATCGGAGATGAGGAATTATAATGTTGTTGCGTTACGTTAAGGTGGCCGGTCCGTAGAGTGCCGGATTTTTAGTGGCAATATTAAGGAGCTGTAGAAGTTTGTTCGTTGAAAAAACATACTTTCCTATACCTTTATTTAACTCTATCTGAATATAAGTGTTAATTTTAAGCGAAATTAAAACAAATGTATATGCACAGTATTACAAATACGGAGAGGTGTTATTTATTTTTTTAATTTTATTATTAATGCTTTATTTATACGTCAGATGAGCTAATAGAGACGCACAGATAATAAGGTGGTGATATAAATATTTAAATATGTGTATACGCACGCGGAAAAAAATTAAGTATCGATTTAAAACTTACATATCCTAATGGATGCAATCATTGTTTTATATATAAGCAAGGATATATTATCTCCTAAATTACTTCGGAATGACAAAATTCTGATAACAAAATGATCGAAAAATGAGTTTTCATAGTCGCTTTCTTGTCATTTTAACGTCATCGTCATTGTATGTTTTACCTGAGAATGTGCAGATAAAATTTAAAAGGATTCCTAAGAGAATGATTTGACGGACCGACTATCTTAAATTTTGATGAATTCACGAACATGTTTTGCGAAAATATTATAATACTAGTGAAATAAAACGAAAATGAATAAGAGGCGAATCTTCTTGCTCGAAATCTTAAGTAAGAAGAAAATAAAGATCTCTTTTCATTTAAAGCACCGAAAAAACTGTGTGGTGCAGCGCAACAGAAAAATTGTCTACAAAACGCCGTTCGTAACGCGACTTTGTAACATTAAATAACATAATTGATAGCAAATCCGCAATCTTGTGGGCGCAATCTTGAAGTTCACGGCGTTATCCTGATTTAGACCGTTCGTCAGTGCAGCGTATCCTGACTCACCGGTCGTGAAATTAAACGGCACGTCGGTAAAGTTACCGGTAATTTACTGGCGTCCGGCAATTGCCGGTTAATCTACAGCCGCCAATTCTACACTGTGAATGTACATTGAATATCTGCAGCTGCAGCCGTACGACACACGTTGCATCGATAAATAATAAAATTGCAAACGAATGAATAAAAAAGTATTTCTGCACGCATATCAGAGATGAAAAGCGATTATACATTCACCGGTTGATCTTGGTGACTATTTTACGCCCATTGCGCGTCCGCGTTTAATATTGTTAACATTGTAATTTACGAAAAAATATAAGCTGAAAAAAGCTTTTTCATATCAAATCAATAGAAGGATAGATAGAATCAATGAGAGCCAAAGCACAGTTCTTCTAGTGCCATAAAACGCAAACAAAGCAATCACTATAGTTCTTAGTTAACATTTATTTAAACGGAAATAGACGATGTTATAGTCGTAAGTTCTAGATTTCAGTCTTATTCAGACTCTTATTAATAAAAATGAGCAAAGTCCAAATGCAGGTACAAGGAAAATGTCAAAAGTAAATGTCTCTCGGAGGTATCAGGTTACATAAAATAAAAAACTCGTATTCAGCTGACGACACGAACGTCTCAGTTCAAATCGTACGAATGATGTGCATAAAAAAATGCGACTGTAACATCGTCTTTTTCCGTTTAAGTAAATGTTAACTAAGACATAAACAAACTGATTGCTTCGTTTGCGTTTATGGCACTAGAAAAAACTGGGGCTCTTCCCCATTATTATGGCCCTATCCATCCTTCTGTTCCACATTCACATTTTTATATTATGTTATAAAGAAAGAAATTCAGCTATTCAATTTCATCTATTCTTGGTCATGACGAGAGAAAACAGAATAAGTTAGACGAAGCAAGAAGAATCAAAGCGATTTTACTTTCACCGTACTCTCTCCCGTTATTATTTTGTAAATAGGTAAATATGCGCGAAAATGTAAAACACGGACCCGGGAGAACAGGCTGTCGTCGCGTCGAACGTACCTCGGGGTCAGGTAATCCAGGTGAGCGCTGTTGACGTGCACCAGCATCTCCGTGGGCGAAATCTCGCCCAGGTCGCAGAAGGGACAGTTGGCGGCGCCCTGCAGATGATACAGCACCATGTGCGACCGCATCTCCTCGTCGTTGAAGCCCTCCAGGCCGCAGATCTCACACGTGTAGTTCATCTCCGGCGGTTTGCTGGACGCCATTTTCCAGAACGTGTCCGGGATAGCCTTGCCGATCCTTCGTCAGAACATTTCATCGCACCGCGTTAAAAGAAGAAAGCAGCGATCACCGGATACCGGAGAACTCCGCGCGCCGTATTTAGCACCGAGCGGTTTCGCGCGCCCGCGCTCTCCTCGAGGACGTGAGTAGGCGGGAATTAATTCGGAGCTTCCGGGGGTTAAATAATGCCGAGGACGTAACGAGTAACGTAATCCCCCGGCTTAAATATCGTTTATCAACATTTACCGTGCGACAGCATCGAAGGAAACGCCAAAGCCGATGGCGAATTTGATAAGCGTCGATAATATAGAAGCGATCCTCCAAATATTATGTTACATAAACACCGATTGCATTGCTCTTTTTGTACTCTGTACGTCATATCTACGTGTATATCTGCATCTGTACATCTGTATTTTGTACATGCAGATCTTACGTAAGTATAAGTGCGACATAGAATATGAATGCGAAATTTTTAAGTGACATCTCTTTAGCTGTCAGCGTGAATATTTACCGGATACAGAAATTCTGCAGCTACCGAATATGTCAACACTCCAATTAGGAAGATTTTAAAGAACATTGTTATTTTTTTATCTTTATACCTTTTCAATAAAATTTAGAGACCTAAAAGATACGGAAAAGTTTGCGGACAAATTCTCACACATCTTGGTTAGATTTTCCGTTATATATGGTAAAACAGAATAGTGCACATTCATTGCATTCACATTTACATCGCATTTACATTTCTACTATTCTTACTATTTAAAATCAATTATATATGTTTTGTGTCATCACTTACTTGTTAATTATTATTTATTGTTATATATTTGGGACGCATGGAACATTATGGGATGCGTGCGTTCCGAAACTTGTAAAAAAAGTATTGCAACGTTTTTCTGACTGACAATATAAAAAATACGAAAAAGTAACGTAATCGTGTTAATGTAATATAATGTTATGAGGATCGCCTCTATGTTATCGACTTCGTCATAGACTTTAGCATCTCTTTAATTCATCGAATTTATCATATTACTAATGATTATCTCGGTAGAAGTGCAAGTAACGATCATTATTATCGCACACACACACACACATGTTATGGTCCTCATTTATAATTTATAATTAATCCTGAATCTAACATTACATTTACGAGTGGAAACCACGATGTTAATATTCATAATATTGATGTTTAATATTGCATCGCATGTATTGTATGAACGTATCGTACCCGCGATTAACGTACTTGTACAGTCGTACGTACTTGTACAGCATAATAAAAGTTGCAACACTATTTCTCGTTGAGTCTCGCAACGCACTTCGTATCCAAAAGGAAAATATATTTCTTAAGAATTGCTAAAAAACGAATTCTCCTATTGGACTTTGAAAGCGTTGTAAAACTCATCGGAAAAAGAAGTGATGCAACTCTTATTATTCTAACTGTACTTCATTAAGAATGAATTAATTGCTGCACAGAAAAGAAGACTTAAATCAAGAATAGATATTCTCGTATATAAACAAGAATATTATAAGCCCAGAAGGTTTTTAGTCTTCATTTGATTGAATTTGTATTGATGCAAGTATTACTTGAATTCAATTCAAGACTAAAAATCTTCTGAGAATATTGCAACATTCTTGCTTACACGACAAATCCTTTAGCTAAAACTCGTCTTACACATTTCTTACATTTCATGCCGTTTTAAATCATGCCATTTAATGATTAAATGTTTTAAATGACGTAAGCTAAATCTGCAAAAAAACATGTAAAAATAGCTTCAGTCAAATGTGTCATTTTCCGACGTTTATGTAAAAATAACACACTTGGATTTACAGTGTATACGTGAGAATATCTACCAATGATTTAAGACTATTTCATCATAATTACTTCTTTCGTGGCTCTCCACTAGGCCTTATCTGTTTACTTCATTGCTCCTCGTATCGTCGGAAGCTTGCCTCGCGCGAACGATAAGTCACAGATAGGAGATGTTTCCGGTCTGAGAGGCACTTCTATCTGCGAGATCGAACGACCGGCGCGACGATAGTGGAACGAGGGTGAGGTCGCGGCTTCTGATTATTTCAGACCCGCTACACTGTGTGTGCTATAGTCACGAGTTGACACTTTACGAGGAATAATTCGACGGTAATGCGCGCGATTTCGATTAGCTCCTTCCGGCGATCGATATTCGACCTCCGGTGCGGTGCGGTTGCATCGCCGCGAGTGTGAAGCTCGCGATCTTTCATTCTCGCGTCTTTCGGCGCCGGCCGGAGAAGCGACGTCAAATCGCGCTCGTGCGTTTAACAAAGAGACTCGGCGATCGATTAAACTTCCCTTCGCACACACATCGCCGATGCAACACGCACGCTTGGACTTGGATTCAATTCAATTTTTGCGTTAATTACGAAAAGACGGGGGAGGAGCGCGTCGAGTTGCGATTGGAGCTGCGATTATCGCGAACGGCCGGTGCGATTTTCAACAACGCGTCTCCGTCTCGCCGGGTGCTTTTTAATTTTCACCGAACACGGCCGCCGCGAACGAACACCTGGGCAATTTCGCCGTCGCGACGTCGTCCCATTTCCCGACGACATTTCTCATTTCTCTGGGGAGAGCGCGATCGAGTGCATCCCTTGCCGCGACCGTGAAACAACGATGGCGTGTCGGCGGCATAGTAACTGCGACGAGTCCCGGCTCTGCGCCGGCGAGAATTGTTTCCCACAGAAAAAATCCTACCTCTCTGTCCCTCTCCCCTTCTCTGTCTCGCTCTCCCCCTTCCTTCCTCTTTCTCTCTCTCTTTCTGGTTGAGATCAATCGAACAGGTCCCGACGATTACAGCATCTGATCACGGTGCCACTGCAACTGATTCCGAGCGGGCGGTCGCTCGCGCTCGGCGAGAACGGCGAGGAATCGCGACCCGGAACAGAGAGGATGGCCGTTCTCCGCGTCTCTAAGCACTATCATCCCACTTGCACGGAACTCTCGGTGGTCTGATGTGGCTTCTCTCACCTCACGACGGTGTTCCGACCCGCAGAGCGGCTATCAGCCGTGTCTAATGCCGTATCGCGACGTCGGGGTGGCGAGTCAATCGATGGACTCTCGCCAGCCGAAGGCCAGCAGGAAATCCGCGAGAATCCATAACTCTTTCCTCCTCTCCGGCGCGCGCGAGAGAGAGAGAGAGAGAGAGCGATCAGTGATCGGCAGCGTCGCGTCGACGACGACGACGACCGCGAGATCACCACGTCGACGTCGGCGACAACACGCGTGTAGCCGCCGCCGCCGCCGTCTAGCGGAGCGGAGGGTCGAAGGGGGTGAGTCGCGACTCTTTTTATTTGCTCGTCCCCGATGAAACTAGGCCAGCGAGTGACTCGCGCGAGAAAACGGCCGCACGTCCGGCCACCGCTGGGTTGGGTTGACCCATTTCTGGCTTCTCCGGCCAGTTCGGTACGTGCGTACTTGCAGCAGGCCCATCGGGACAAGCGACTTGGTCGAGTCTCCGACTTCCTTCCTTCCTTCTTTCCTTCTTCGCCAGTCTCTTCCGCCACCTCGTCACTCGTCCGTCCGCTCGTTCGTTCGTTCGTTCGTTCGTACGCTCGCTCGCTCACTCGCTCGCTCGCGCGTTCACTCACTCACCGAACTGTCGGATCGATCATTCGCGTTCTCCTCGTGGTAGGCCCTCGCGCTCGTCCCGCGGTAGCGGGACCGCCGATTCGCCTAACACGCAACCCCGTCGTTCGGCTCCATATGACAGCGGCGCAGTCGTCCCGTCCCTACGTCCGTCCGTACGTAACCGTACGTACGTGCGTGCGTGCGGCTGCCTTCTCTGCGCCGAGAGGGTGCTGTCACCCCCGCGAGAGTCTACCCACTGATCGTGCACCGACAACGCGAGCCCCTACGTCCACCCCCGGCGACGCCACCAGCGCCGTTACCAGCACCTACTCCGGAGAGAGTGCGCTATCGGTAACGATGCTCCGAGTCGCCAGAGGGTGGCTCGCGGAGGGTGACTCGCCGCGATACCGGCAGCCAAGCTGTCGCTCTCGTGCTACCACGCTCGCGATAATAATATTTACGAGCGAACAGTACTATCGCACTTATCGTCAACGGCATCGCCTTAACGTTCCTTTTACGTCTCCCGTGTGGCATGTCAATGTGAAAAATTCAAGGCACGTAGCGAAAAATGAAAAGTATGTAACAGGAAATTATTCATTTACTCGTTCGCTCGGTTAACGGGAAAAAAATATTACGGTGTGCGTATTTAAGGGGACGGAAGGAAATTGTACAGGATTAACTCCAATGTATGGATCGAATTGCGTGTAAAAAAAAGAAAACAACTTGTCGAAGTTACTCAATTGGATGGGAGAGCGTGGATCAAGCTACGATATCGATATCAGTGAAGATTGCGGAGTTTAGAACGTGATTACATAAATAATTAAACTTGTTTCTCACCCTAAGCTGTATGAAGACTGGGACTGTGTCCAGCTCGGTCGAGGTTGGATCCAACGATCGATCACTCCACCGGATTCCGCTTGATGGACGAAAGCTCGGGCGGAATGCGCGAGCGATATTATCGCGATCTCTTTCTGCGAATGTTCTCGACGGGACAATAATCGTAACGGTGCGTCTCGCAACGCGTGCTGTCATCCTGTCGCCGGGAGCGGCGCGCGCTCATTATCGCGCGTTCCGATTCCTCTAATCGCCCGCGCATTGTCTCTCCACGCCCGGGCTTTCCATAATGACAGGTCGGCGCGTAAGCAAAGAGGTACGCGCCGTGGGCATTATCCAAATTACAGAATGCAACGCGAACGTGCGCCGGGTGAACCGCGCGCGCGGTTGGCGCGTCGCCCGGCCTGATGGACGTGCCATTATTTTTCCGCGCGTGCGGCGTCGCCGAGGCGCAAACGAGCATCGCCGGGGCGCGTCGCGAATGCAAACGCGCAGGCAGGCTCCGCGATTCCGCTCGCGATCCGCACGCGACGTGCGCGACAAATTCGCACGGGAAATTCGATTTCTCACGGCATTACTTCGGGCAGCGTGCGAGCGCCTCGGGAGCTGGCTCCTCGGCTCGTCGCTTCATTGAGATGCAGTCAACGATCGGAGCAAGATACCAACGTTCAGCGAACCGTTTGGTCCTTCCTCCTTGTCGACAGCTTTCTCCCCTCCGCCACCGTGGAAAATAGACGAGCGCGAATCGAGAGGAATTTATTCGAGCTCTCAATTCTTCGCTTCGTTTTTTTCTTTTTTTTTTTTTTTTTTTNGCTTTCCCGTTTGTTTTTTCCGAAATTATGAAGGAGAAAAGGAAAGGAATAAGGAGAATTCTTTTTCACGCTAGTCGGTCGCATCGTGAACTTTTGCGCGCGTGCTCCTTTCGAAAAGTGATTTATAATTTATCGTCCTTCCGTTTGCGAGTGAGAGGAATTTGATCGATGATCGACGAGGCAACGACTTCATTCCGACGTGATTCGCGGCGAATCAAAATTCGCGTCTCGCTCATCCCACGCGCTAGATGAATATACGACGCAGCCCAATTAGCCGACGTCTGCACGGAGATAATTAATAACCATTCCGAGTAGTTGAGCGAGTTAAATCGAGTTCGAAGTCCGCGTTGCGGCCCCGTTCCTGGTATTAGATGGCTCCGATACAAAGAATTCCATCGAGACCGTTTGTCTCTAGATGGAATAAATAGACAGATGAAAGCGAGACGAAAGCGGACAAGCGAGGAATGCACGCGATATATTGAAATTCCATACTTACGGCGTCAAATAATAAAATAAAAATTTCGGAGAAGTAAAATTTTGACAAATTATAGTCTCTCTTATTAGTCTCTCTAATTCATACATACGTCATTAAAGTTAATTTTACATTTTACATAAAATTACTTAATTTTATGTGAGTCTCAAATTTGAAATTTTTACGACAGTTTAGCCATACATAGACCTTGACTTTAACCAAAAATTAAAATTTTTGCTGTTTTACCAACTAGAGACATTTAAGTCTAAAATAAATGTTTTAAAAAGGAAAGACTTTCAAAGTGTCTTTAAAAAGTACGACTCAATAATCTCAGAGTACAGCTCTTGTTTTGCAATAAAGTACTAGCATACATGCATCTTCCAAAGAAAACTGAAACCTGAGATTTCTCTTCGAACTGAGATAAAAGTACCCTGAAAAATCATAATTTTACAGATACAACTTCAACCAATCTTTCCATTATTAAAAGATGAAATTAGGTAATTAATACATTAGAATTGTAGTTAAAAATATAGTCTAAACTTTAGTGAAAACAATGGTTTTTAATTCAGAACTCTATTATTTCCCAGTTCTGAGATTTTTTTTAACGGTCGAGTAACCAGAACATGCATAATTGTACCACTTGAGGTGGATCGGCTCTTTATAAAAAATCGAAAAATCCTAGAATAAAACTAGAAAAGGAAAAGACACTTCGGAGCGCAGTTGCATGCGCAAGCGACTTGTTACGGCCGAAGTCGCTACGTAAAGGCTCGTGAGCGTCGTTCGTACGGAAATAAAGATCCTTATGGTACTTCGATGATGTCCCGAGGTTAAACCGGTATGCACTTGCGGCGACGTCGATCGCGTTCGGCGATCGGCGAAACTGGTTTCTCCGGAATTGCCGTTCGCGAGCGGATTTTTGGCAAGACCGGCGTGCATCCGAATAATTGAAATGTATCTCGATTCCCCGTGAATGGCTCTATCGGGCGAACAACGTATGCAGAAATCGGCTGGACCCCGGCGAGTCCCCGAAACAGAGTCTGTTAAATTTCCCGAAGCGGAATACATTCTTCTCTTCCCATCGATTTAAGAGACCGCTGCCGCGCTGGATTCACGGATACGCGCCGAATAAAAAGTACTAATCGGTCGAGTAATTAATTGTTACGGCTCAATCGGTCGAGCTGACGGTTTCATTTAGAGCACGGGTATCATTGGTTCGCTAGGAGAATTGCATTCCCTCGCGTCTCGATCATCGATCGCTGCGAGCGAACCGTCCGATTTGTACGTCGTTATTCATTGTTAATTATCTATGCGCGGCAGGTAGCAGTAGATGTACCGAGATAAGATGCCCGCCGGTAGCGCAGAGGTAGCACGGAGGTCCGTGCATTGGTCCAGCGGCGTTTGAATATTTATACGATCATGCGCGATTAACATAGCGGACGTGTCGAGAGGACTTCGATCGCGGAACTGGCTGCCGCTTTGCTTCGTTGCGCGACTCTCTCGGCCCGAGAGTAGAGAGTGGACTTTGAACTTCAGCCTTTATTAATTCCCATTCCGATGTCTCGGAGGGTTGATGAAAGGCGAGAAAAAAAGATTACCAGACCGTCGCTCGGCACGTAGAGGAACGCTCGACGCGCGCGATATTCGCGAGATGCGGCGGAAATCTCGCTGCGACACGTTTTCTCGCAATGAGTTTAATCGGGCGACGTTGTGAAGAAAAAAATAAAATAAAATAAAGAAAGAAGAAGAAGAAATCGACAGAGGATAATTAGTCTCGTTCGTAATCGAGAGTCAGACGGGAGGAGCTATGCATTTTAAACTCAATTTATTTAAAATTAGTGCCCGGTGCTTTAGCTCGGTTTGCATAACATCCACCAATTGTGCAACGCGCGCAAATGACACACCACGCCGCCGCTATTTACATCGGCGGTAGAATAACGGCCTTCCCCTTTTAAAGGGACGGATGAAAGCGACGAAGAGAGGCGCGAGATTAAAGAGAGAGAAAGAGAGAGATACAGAGAGACGGAGAGAGAGAGAGAGAGAGAGAGTTATACTAGGGACCGGTTGTCCGCTGCCCACGTGCGGATTGAAAGCGATTTATCGGCGGAATAAATTAATAAATTACAGCCGCTCCGAGAATCCACTCCGATCAGTCAATCAAATATCCGGAGATGACGGCGGACGTGTTTTCGAACACCCGTCGGCCACTGAAGCACTGATAAAAAAAATCGGTGATCCTGAGTAGACGAATTTACAGGCTACGTGATAAATCAAGCGGCGAGTAAATTGGAGAATAACAAATTACCAAAAACTGAATAAAAACCAAAAGAATTTTGTCGCAAAGCCAAATTTTTGTCGCAAAATCGAATTTTCGGCACGATGCTGAATTGTTTCCGCGAAGTTAAATTTTTTTCGCAGGGTCAACTTCTTTCCGGAGAATCGAATTTTCTTCGCGAGGTCGAATTGTCTCTGCGAGATCGAATTTTCCTCGCGAAACCGCATTTTGTCGCAAACTCGAATTTTCTTCGCGAAACTGAATTTTCTTCGATTTTAAAAATATCGTGCCACTTGAAAATAGGCAGGCTTAAAGAAATAATTTTGCTTCGACGCTTAAAGGAATGCTGTATCTGAAAATTTTGCTGACAAAATATTGATTTTTGTGCAAAGTTTACGTCTTATTGGTTGTATAGAATTATGTATAATAAATACTTTTACATAGTGAAAGTAACAGTACGTGCTAAAATAAATTAGAGCATTAATATCTGATGAGAACGATTAAAAATTACTAAACTCTCCAACTGTTAGTTATCGTAAATATTTATCTGATCAGAAATTATCTACAATTTGTACCGAATGTGTATCAAATCTGCTCTCAGAAAAATTTCAAAGGACATCTTTATACTTTTTCAATGAAATTTCGAGGCCTAAAAAAGTACGAAATGTTTGTAGAAAAAATTGTATATATCTTGGTTAGATTTTCCATTAGACACGATGAAGTAGAGCAGAGTACATTTGTCGCGTTTACATTATTTATATCACACTTATACGCACTTACGTAAGATTTCCATATACAAGAAATACAAAAAGATAACGCGATCGTGTTAGTGTTTATGCAAACATAACATCTTGAAAATCGCCTCGACGTTATCGACGATTATCGAGTTCGTTCGTCGGCTTTGGCATCCCCTTAATCGCCGCTTAATTACAGCCAACTTGGCGCAACGCGATGCAATTATCAGTAACGCTGCGTCGGCCGCGAGGGTTCGGTCGTGTAAAATCTTATTTCACGACAATATGCGTGTCTGTCTTGCGAGTCGAGCGTGTGTCATACTTATAGTGTTTAATCACGGGGATCATGCGCGCATAATAAGTACGTTACGTCGACGCTACGGGGTATCGACACGGTTATCAGAAGTGTTTCGGAGAGTGCTCGATATCGCGGCATTATCGACGGAAGCACGTCCCCAGGGTTATCGGCTTTTCCTCCTTCTGAGAACACGGTACCACTCGAAGCCAATGGGCCGCAAAGAAGGCTAGATTTATGGACGCGGACTGATTTTCGTCTGACCTGCGTCGAACGACGGAGTACTCGAAGAGATACGGCAGCCGGAGAGTCGAATGTACGGTCAAGTGGTCCATTACGCTCGTCCTCCTCCTCCGACTCGTCTCTCCTCGCTCTTCGTGTTCTCATGCGTGCAATTCGAGAATTCCGACTAGCGCTCTGGAGAAACTCTCCGAACAAGTGTCCACGGGCAAAACGACAGCAATGTGCAACGTGTCCTGTGTCTAATGTAACGCGATTGCGCAAAGCCGCTCGCCTACGCGGCTTATGTTAATATTATCGGAGCATAGTTATCGAGACGGAAAATGATTTGACGCCCAGAAACTCACTCCGACGACATTGCTGCGAAAATAAACCGAACCGCTCGTTCCACCGCGGAAGAAAGAGCGGCTTTGGACGTTTGCCCCCTGAAATCATGGCGACTCACGAGCCAACGTAATTTTTCCCGATCGTTCGAAATTTCTCCAAGAGCACCCGCGCGGGAAAATATTTCGCGCTCGAGAGTTTCAAGACGTCGAATTTCGCGCTACTTACGCGCGTAACAAAGGATCGCCACGACGCGGTTACAGGTTGCATTGACGAGGAGGAGGAGGAAGAGGAGGGAGCAACGTCGGGAGACATAAGGACGGGGAAAAATGCCGGGGATGCGTGTGGGTATATACGGTCGAAGATGTCACAATAGCGGTTGCACCGCGTGACAACCGCACGCCACGCGTTTCTTCCCACCCACATGCGACTTCGCCGTCTCCTTCTCTCTCTCTCTCTCTCTCTCATTCTTTCGCACTCTCGCGCTCTCGCCCTACGTCGCCCCAACCGGCCCCCGACTCGACGGGGCCCCGGCTCTCCTCATTTCTTCCTCTCACCCACTCAGTCAGTAAAAAGCTCACTCGGCTCGTAAGTGCCACGAAAAGCTCAGTCGCTCGCGAGCTGCGCTCGAGTGCACACCTCGGTTCCCTGCGAGTGCTTCGCGCGCGTCTCCCCGTCATGTGAGGCCTCCGCGTCCGTGAGCCTGTGACATCTTTTTTTTCCTTCTTCTTCTCCTCCTCCTCCTCTTCCTCCTTTTCTCTCTTTCTCCTCTTCTCTCTATTCTTTTTTCTTCTTTTGCGTAGAACACGCGTGCGTACGTACGTACGTACGTACGTACGTCGATCGTGCGTGTATGCGTGCATGCGTGCGTGCGTGCGTGCGTGCGTGCGTGCGCGCGTACGACAGTGAGATGAGGTGAGAACTCGCGGCGCGCGAGTACCTGTCGTCCACGGAGGGTTCGGAGCAAAGGGGTGTCCCGCACGCGCGCTGATAAAATGCGCGGCTTAACGCTGCTGCTGATAACGGCGATCGCGATGATCCTCTCGCCGGTCGCCGCGAATCTCTTTCTCAACGCCGCACAAGGTAATGTATATTTTTATCTCTCTCTCTCCCTCTCTCTCTCTCTTTTGTGAAATATGTATAAGTTGATAAGTTAGAATGCGTAAAACGAAAAGGGACGGACTGAATTTTGCGATCTCTCGGGCGAGACTGAAATTGAGCAAAATTAAGGGTGAGATCTGGATAATTGAGAAGATGAATTAAACTGGAGACGGACATTAATCCACTTGGCGGATAAATTGCTGATTTCGATCTATCTTAACCGGAGAGACGGACACTTCGAAGTCTCTCCCATGAGTTTGACGAACTGCGCGATACAAAGGCCTTAATTTACCGCTTCGTCCGGCGAGTGACAAGTGAAACCTCCAGTGTGACGAGGTTAGCGGTCAGCAGTACATTGAATTTAACCTCGGAGGTAGCCGATTCGATCGTCGGGAACCACGGAGTTCGCGTAGACACGAGAGCATCGTCGAACACGTCGTGATCGATAAGAGGACGGTCATACCGTCTCACTCAAGGATGTTCGTGATCGTGCAGGGAGATGGTCGAACGGATTTTTCGGAGCGGCAGCTATTTCGACCGCGGCTGCTTATCACGTCGCCAGATGAACCGTGATTATTTTTAAGACCGACCGGCCGGTGTCGCGCCCGGCGCTTTCGCGGCGCGCAAAAATACGAGCCCGGGACAGATTCATTGAACCCTTCCTCGTGAGTGTTCGTCATCGTGGCAAGAAGATATCAACGACAACTTCCCGCCATATGTGCGCGTGGTCCTCCTCCTCCTCTTCCTCCTCCTCCTCCTCCTCCTCATCATCATTTTACTCCACTCTCTCCTCTCGTCTCTCGTCTCTCGTCCCTTCGTCGCGCTGATTTTTTTTTCATGCCTTCGCCTCGACTCGCATGGCGATTTTAATGTCTCTCTTCGCTCGTCGCTGGAAACGTCTCCGCGGACGAACGGGAGAGACCCCGGGAAAGAGCTTTTTTGCCGCGATTCAAGCGGGGTGCGCGACGCCGGGAGTACTCCGAGTTCTCACGGCTTGTCGCGCCGCAAAAAGCTCCGTTTCCTTCCGCGATGACCGCGACATTCTTCGGGCGAGCGAAATCACTCGAATTTTTATCTACCTCGCGCACTTATGCCAGGTTCCATTGTCATGGTTTACATCTGATCGAAGATTAATTCAACAGAATTGATCGATCGCCGACTTTAACACATGTACGAAATGTTTCTACTGTATGGGAGAAGAGTCAAACTTTAGTACATTGATTATAAATATCACTTTCCAAGATTTCTACGTAATAAATTAAATTCTAGACTTTACTTTGCATATTATCTATTATAACTGACCGTAAGAAATGTTGTATATTAATCTTACAAATATGCAATAATATGATCGTCTGATAGAAAAAGAAATCTCTATCTCATGATTCTAACGATTGATATTTTCGCGCTTTCATGCAATACGTCATCCATAATTATATCTCGTCACTTTATAAACGCCTGACTGCGATTATTTCCTCATGTTTACGATCGTTTTCAACGTTGCTAAGCACGTTTCGCTTTTGCTTTTCTCCACACGTCTATCTTCAATCACAGATGCGTATTATTGTTAATGTTCCCACATCGCGCCACATCGTTACAGCAACGGCGAAATTCACGCGTCGATACTACGTCGTCGTTGGGCCGCAAAGTGTTGTTAATTACTCTCGCGATTAAAATAATAATGACCTCACAGAGTTCTTCTAACGTCGGGCGTATCACGAGAGAGAGAAAGAGAGCGATTAGGAGGCCGCTCGCGAGGCGCACTTAAGACCTAAAGAATAGCTCCACTTGTCGTGAGGCAGCTCGGAGTTACAATCATCGCCCGATGGGTATGCAAAGCAATGCGGGATAATATGAATATTAACCGCGTGTCGCGTGCGTCTTTGCATTTTATCCTCGATAATCGATAAATCAAGCGCGAGCGATAGCGGGTGGAGAGAGGATTCGCATCGAGATCGCACGATCCTCCGCTCTTATGTGCACCGATCCTTTCTCCCCTTCCCACCTTCCTTTCTTCGTTTCAACCTCCCCCTGGGCCCTTTAATCTTTCCTGAAATTTACACGGTGCACGTGCGTGTGAGAACGAGGTGTCGCTAACGGTCCCCGGACCCCCGTTCCTTCGGCCCAGCTCGCACAGCCGTATTCGTGCGCGTACAAAGAGGAAAGAGAGGAACAAGCGGAGGCATTGGCGGAGCCTATATATATATATACACACACACGTGTACATACAGCGATATATACATTCTCGCATAAGTGTATCTACACACGACAGCCGAAGAAGGTGATAACGTGTCGCGTTTATTCGCGTTCTCGCGCTTCTCTCCCCTCCTCGCCGCCCGCGTTCAATTGCGTTTATCGCGAGGGGGGGGGGCACAGCATCGTGGGTTCGTAAGAGGAACGAGGATCGGCGAGAAGGAGGAGAGAGGAGGAAGTACATGAAGAAGAAATCCTATAAAATCCTCAGTGAACTTTACGTCCCGATGGGATTGCAATTTGAGAGCCGGTCGCGGAAAGGATATCGCGGCGTTATTGCGCCGTTTCGATAAATCAGCAGTCGCGATAGTTCCTCTATTCATTCGTGGCGGCGATATCGAGGGAGAGCGAGAGAGCGTCGTAACAGATATCGCCGCGGCTAGAGGCGCGATTTGCATAGAGCGCGAATTGTATCCCGTATGTCGCGAATGATTAACACGCTCGAAGTGCCGGGGATCGCTGATCGGCGGGAAACGAACGTCGGGAACGCCGCGATCTCGACTTATTCACGCGGGACTGGGAAACACGTAATTCACCGACGCCCGTGTGCGCATTACAAAACTGTCCGTGTCTGATTTATAATTACGATACGCGAACGTTTGTAATGTAAACCGCGATTGCGTAAGCGGCAATTATTCCATCCTAATGATACACGGCACGAGACGACGACGCGAGTTCGATGGCTGCGTGTGCGCGGCGTGAAGAAAAAAAATGGTGAAGTTAAACGCCGTAGAGCAATGACTCGGCCCGTGCACGTTGTCCCAATAAAATCCCACGTTTTCTCTGTCTCCCCCCTCTCTCTCTTTTTCTTTTTCTCTCTTCCTCCCTACGCATCGACGATATATATTTGCCAGTTGTCATGTCGTTACCGCGAACGTAGTCCCAGCACGCTCGCGTAATTGCGCGAATGACAGAAAAACATGAAGACGTCGTGCGCGACTTATCATCGACACCTTAATCGAGGCGCAATCGGGACGCGTTAAACGGCCCGTTCGGCCTCGTAATGATCTCTCATTTGCGATAGATCACCTGCCGAGCGTAAAACAAGCCGTGTATTACGTTCTGCTGCGTTCGATTGCGCTCCGTGAAAAAGAACCGGCCGGGTAATTGCCGGCCCGTGTCGCACGCCCCCGGTACATATCTCAACATCGGCGAGAGTATCGATCATAATGATTCCCGCTCGGGTAAATTTGACGCCCCCCCCCCTCCCCCTGGCCCCGTTCTAAGCGCGCAAAAATCCGCCTTCCCGCGCTGCACCGAGCGTGTAATTTCGCGTGTCTCTCCGACTGGAAATTAGAGCGGCGACTTACGCAAGATATAATATACATAATATACACGGACACGCGCACCCACACGCATCATTTGTGCACGCTTCCATACACACACACACACACCGCGGCCGCAGGCTCCTAGAGATCGTCGATCGAGATCGATACTATTAATTAAGCGCCCGCAAACCGTGCCCGCGCATCGGCGCGTCTTCGATCTCCGCTCGGATCCGCGCGCCGTCAATGCATTATTATGCGCCGTTTATCGTATTCCAAGTAACTTTATTAACGTGCTCTTCTAGTAGAATCCCGCCGCCGGCGGGCGCTCAATGAGTCATTATGCCTTCGAAAGCCGCGCACGAGGACCTTCTCTCTCTCTCTCTCTCTCTCTCTTTCCTCGTTTCCATAATAGGAAATACATATTAATCGCGTGAAACTGGAACAGCCGATATCCGGCTGAGAATTAACTAATTAAACATGTTTATTCGCGACGGTTGGGAAATTATAGCTGTTATTGAAAAAACAAAAATTTTCCATCAACGCGGATAAATACCAGGGATTATTTCCAAGGAATGTGGCGTCTCTCGATGTTCGTTCGGTTCGTGGAAAGAAAAACAACAACTCGGATACACGAGATCGACTCAGATACACATCAACTTCAATAACCGATTTCGACGAGTACCGCACGTCGAGAGGGAGAGAGAGAGAGAGAGAGAGAGAGAGAGAGTCTCACGAGATGAGGTGGCGCACATCGTCACTTTTACCGAAATGGTAATTTTCTTGTCGCTCGTATCGCGCATATCGAGCTGAACGACGGGCAATTAAATCTGTAACACGCGCCCTGAATGGCGCTCAGGAAATCCGGGGACACGTGTTAATGTCACGCCCGCGGTGAAGTTTACGTTTTCGGGGCTGTATAATTTCGTCGATCGACTATTAAATCTCCCATAAGGGAAGGGGGTTTTCACTCTTTCTCTCTCTCTTTCTCTTTCTCTTTCACCTTCCTCACTTTCTCCCTCTTGCCCCTGCCTTCGTATTTTTTTACGAGCGGACCGTTTCGACGATCTCGACGGTCGGATAATAAAACGTAGCCGCACGCGACGGAAGGCGCGAGGATCTCTCTTCGTCCGCGCGATAGGAAATAACGAGCGGCACGATGGGCTTGAGGTTTACGCTTAATAATCGTAATAACGATTACCCGTCACGGTGATACGAATATACGGAGATAAGGACGACGGAATAGGAAGGAGGAAGAGAAAGAGAAAGAGAAAGGGCGAGAGGGCTCGCGCGACAAAGCGGGAGTGCGAGAGGAGACGAGCGGGTGAGTTAAGTGCGCATGTAAGCGCTCTCTACGGTCGTGAAGGGAACCCCCTTCGATTCATCCCGCCATTCCTCGGGAACGCAATATCCATTAATTGCGGGAACGAGAAAAAACAAGAGTCTCGCGTACACCGATTTGCGCCC